AAAAACAAAACAAGGAAAGAATGAAGTAACAAAAGTGGAGATTTATTGAAAATGAAAACACACTCCACAGGGTGGGAGCAGGCCTGAGCAAGTGGCTCAGTGGCCTAGTTACAGAATTTTCTGGGATTTCAATACCCTCTAGAATTTTCCATTAGTTACTTGGTGTATGCCCTATGTAAATAAAGGATGATGGTTGGATGTGGTGGCTCACACCTGTAATCCCACCACTTTGGGAGGCCAATGTGGGCAGATCACGAGTTCAGGAGTTCGAGACCAGCCTGACCAACATGGTGAAACCCCATCTCTAATAAAAATACAAAAATTAGCCCAGCATGGTGGCACGTGCCTGTAATTCTAGCTACTCAGGAGGCTGAGGCAAGAGAATCACTTGAACCCAGGAGGGGGAGGTTGCGGTAAGCTGAGATCGTACCACTGCTCTCCAGCCTGACAACAGAGCAAGACTCCGTCTCAAAAAAAAAAGAAAAAAGAAAAAGAAAAGAAAACGAAAGTTTAAATGTTTAAATGGCCCATCAGGTAGCCAAATATACCTGAAGCTTTGATTGTAAACCGAACATTGATTATAAACTATTTTAGCAATTTATAAGTTGGCACACCAATATATATTTAATCTGGATCATTTTGTCTTTTCCATAATGAGTCATGGAATGCAGAAACTTTAATAACAAAAGCTTTAAGGACTCAGGAAGAACAAGGTGGCCATCTTGGTTCTCCATGAGTCCATACTTAACACTAGACTTATGTCCTCTTGAATACCAGTTGTTTCTCCAATTTAGGTGCATAGCACTGATAACTAATGGGTTTTCATAGCTAATTTGACTTAGACCATGGAGTTCAAATGACTTTAAACAGTGATAGTTAAAAACACTATTGACAAGGAGATTTGGTTTTCTGTGGTCTACAATAACATAATAATTATGATTGATAGCATACACTCACACATATTAGAATTTTAGAAATTCCATACAATTTTGGAACATATATTAATATCATTTACTAACATATAAACTGAAGATTAAACATTATTTTTTATTTTCACAATGCTTCCCATGTAACTAAACATATCAAATAATCCTGTTTATCTCTCTTTTGGATGGTTCACAGGCCTGATGTAGTATCTCAAAATTTGAGGTCAGAAAAGACAATTTTGAAGCTGCAATTTGATTTTGGGAAGCTTGTTAAATGTTTATAAAAATTTACATTTCCATGCCTTCTTATAATCTTTTACCATTCATTCAACCAGTTTGTACAGAGAGGGGCCAGAAGTCCAACTGGTAAGAAATTCTTACCCTATTGCTGGCATGTCAGGTTTCTGAGTAGTCTCTCTGTGAGCAGCCCTAGTGACCCTGCTCAACTGTATGCAAACAAACACATTGTCATGAATTAAGAATATTCACAAATAATTCACAAATTTTGAAGACATCGGGCAGAGAGAGAGAAATATGACTCAAGTTCTATTTACAAAAGTATACGGTTAAAGTATCAGGAAGCCTAATATCCAAAAGTTAGTTTAAGGTTAAAAAGCTTACTGTGCTCTGGCCAGGCGCGGTAGCTCATGCCTGTAATCCCAGCACTTTGGGAGGCCAAGGCGGGTGGATCACGAGGTCAGGAGATCGAGACCATCCTGGCTAACATGG